AAAATCGATCAACTTAATGAAAAAATGTATAAACAGGTATTCTTAGGCAGAGTAATCTGAAGAAGCTTTCCAAAAATATAAGCAGGGCATACAGAAAATATAGAGACTAAAAGAACCACTTACTCCATATTACAATTTACAAGTAATTATAGCATAAGCTCAAATATAGATAACCGATGCATGCATAAATAAAAAATGAATAAATAAATAAACCCCCTTAATTCATATGAAAAATAAGGAAGAAATGAGGATGAAAAGCATTATGACTGAAAATATCCAATACTTTTAAAGGAAAGACCCAAAAACTCACACCATGCAACAAAAATAAAGCTAAACAAAATACAATCAAGAGGACTGAATCACATTAGAACCTTGAGGATTATGGGGAGAGTGGTAAGCTCCACAGCTGGCAACTCCCTCAACTCACTATTCATTGAGTGAAATGTTTCACCTGCAGTAATAACATATGAAACAGTTGTTATTCATGACGGTACTCCAAAATTACACAATGATAACTTTTATATTATGTCTAATAGAAAAACATTGCACATTCTCAGAAAATGATCATTCTGTGCATCAAAGCCGAAGATGATGACCACTCAACTAAAGAATCCCATTTAATTAAGGTCTTCCTACCTCTAAGGCAGAAGAAAAATATACTACTTGATTAAAAAGAACTTTTTGGAAAATTTCCAACCTAAAATCTTTGTTTGGACCAGAGTTACTAAGAGAGTTAACCATTTACACAGATACAATGTTGGATCAACTTGAATGAAGAGTTAAGAGCTTCAAGGATTTCAAGAAAAACTTACTGTTGAGAGAAGCGAAATGCATATTTCTTTGGACGTTACAGATGTGGTCCCTGCAATAGAGAAAGAGGATAAACAAAGGGGAGAAGAAAGGAAAATGGTTGACACCATAAACTTCCAGCACAGTGAACTCTAAGAGAAAGGATATAAAAATTGCGATCAAAAGCATTGAAAGAGGATGAAGCAATTTATAAACATTATTACCATATGTAAGAGCATCCTGTGTTCTCTTGAAAACTAAGTGCTAATTCTGTAGAATACTCGGAATCCCTCCATGATATGATTGTATCTGATAATAAATGCACATATCATCCAATGAAACTGATATTTTCACAAATAACAGACGTGGCTTTTAGTGAAAGCAAAAGAATACCTTCTTGTTTTCTGTAAATGTCATCAGGGCTGATACGGTGTAAAAGCAACGTCTCATTGTCTTCTTCATCAAAAACAAACAAAGCCAACTCTTCTGATCTCTGAATTATAATATGTTCATGCTTTTATAATGAGGAAGACATTTTCATCAAAATAACTTATTTTCAAAAACTAAATCCAGTATATCCAGATTCAAAACAGAAAAACCTAAATCAAATAGAAGATCTGAACAGACCTCCAGGTAATCAACAGTGACATGCCCAGTTCCTTGATCATCCCATTTACCGTCCTCACTCAAACGATAGACTTTAACTCGCTGAATTTATAAGTACGATAAATTGACACAAAAAAGGAGATTAGTTCAATAGCATATGAAGACTCGAGCAAATTTCAAGAAACAAACATCAGACTGAAAAAAGGTCTGGTGTACCAGGGGATTATATCATTAAAACACTGCATAGTCCCACAACATGAAGTTAAACCTTTAGCAGCTATATGAGCCCTTCTACCATAAGAAGATATCATTTGAATAAAAAATGAAGAGAATAGTTAAATAGAATTCTCAAACTCGTGATGAATTCACAGAATATATAACACCGGCCGAAAATGGTACAAATCTAGTTCACTAGACAATGATATCCTTTTCCCATAAAATAACACCTACATTTAACTAACATAGCAAAACAAGCTAAAATCCCAGTTAACTAGTAACCTAACATAAGCATTTAACCATGTGGAATGAATAACTACTTATTTCAAAAAGTCTGTAGTCATCAACTGAAGTAGAGACATACTGCAAAATGAATCATGACTTATTCCAAATTTCTCATGCGTAACATTTACCGAAGACTAAAAACAAAGCCCTGACCACATTTCTTAAGTTAATTCACTTCACGAAACACTTCAACCCAAAACCTAATAAATAGTACTACGCAACAGGAAAAAAAAGAGTCGCAACTTTACCTATAAAGCAGAAATGAATTTAGAACTAATCGAAAGATAAGAACTTTACTTACACCGTAAATTCCAATTATTCCTCGATAATGAAAAAAAACACAAAAGCCGAAGCAAATACCCAACTCATCCTAGGAGTGAACTGGTAAAAAATAAGGAAAATTTAGAGGGCCCAAATAAGAGCAGATAAAGATGAACTGACCTGAAGCGAATTTGAGTTGCCTTGAGATTTCTCTTGAGCGCCCATCGAATCTTCTCGCTCTCCGATTACAAAATTTCTGGAATCCCAAAAAAGCCACGGGGAACCGTAAAGATTGAGGACTCGGAAGTTAAAATTGAGAGACTTAGGGGAGACTCAGGAATTAGGGCTTTTGGGAAATGAGAGAAGAGCGGGCTATTGGAATACTAGGCGGGAGAGAAATAAGAATTTCCCCTGTGAAAGGAGATCAATAGAAAACACTAACCGCCATTAACGAAAGCTGAAGAAACTTCTTTTCTTTTTCCACTCTCTCCTTTTCTGTATTTTCTACGCTAAGAATAACTTCTTTCCTTCCCCCGACCTTCGATGACCAAGAAAATAGCCACGGGGAACCGTAAAGATTGAGGACTCGGAAGTTAAAATTGAGAGACTTAGGGGAGATTCAGGAATTAGGGCTTTTGGGAAATGAGAAGAGGGAAAGAAGAGCGGGCTATTGGCATACTAGGCGGGAGAGAAATAAGAATTTCCCCTGTGAAAGAGGATCAATAGAAAACCCTAACCGCCATTAACGAAAGCTGAAGAAACTTCTTTTGTTTTTCCACTCTCTCCTTTTCTGTATTTTCTACGCTGAGAATAACTTCTTTCCTTCCCCCGACCTTCGATGACCAAGAAAATAGCCACGGGGAACCGTAAAGATTGAGGACTCGGAAGTTAAAATTGAGACTTAGGGGAGACTCAAGAATTAGGGCTTTAGGGAAATGAGAAGAGAGAGAAGAGCGGGCTATTGGAATACTAGGCGGGAGAGAAATAAGAATTTCCCCTGTGAAAGGGGATCAATAGAAAATAAAACGAAACTAGAAAAACAATTGAAAGTTTATGGGTAAACTACACATTAGTATTAACTATTAATTTTGATCGTTCTAATACTTAAACTTTTATTTTTTTTAAATCATACTTAATATTTAATTTTTACTTCATTTTAGTACTCATAGTTAAAAACTTAGTGTATGTTTGTTTGTCGTAATTTGAATTACGGAATTGGTTTTCCCCGAAATCCTGTGTTTGTTTCATGTAATTCGTTTTCCGGAAAATGTTTTCCTGTGTTTGTTTCACGTAATTCGTTTTCCGAAAAATATTTTCAAGTGTTTGGTTGTAGGAAAACTAGTTTGTCAACATAATTCATTTTCCTGGTCAACAGAATTTCCTATGTGTTTTCTGAAAAATGTCTTACGGTCTGATTTTCCGTAAGTCATTTTCCAAACTTTTCACTTCAAATAATAAATACTCAAAATAATTTTATTTTATGAATTTAATATTAATAAAATATTTTAATATTATTTTCATCAAAAATATTAATTATTGAAATATTTAATATTTATAATAATATAATATTATATTTTTAATATTATAATAAAATAGTCAATTATATTATAATAATATAAGATAGTTTATTTTTATTTTAATAAATATATAATAAATTGCTTATATATTTAATAATGAATAATATTATTTATATATTTAATATTAATATAATAATCTAATAATATTTTAATAAAGATATTTAAATATACTAATTAATATTTTTAAAATATAATATAACACTATTACTTTAATAAATAATTAATATAATTTATCATATTTTTATTTCTAAATTATAAAAAATAATATTTAATAAAAAATAAATTGTTTTAATGTTTTAAAATAATAATATTAAGTTTTATGATAAATAATATTATTTATTGTATTTAATAATTGTAATAAATAATTTTTAAAAAACTCATCAATTAGTATGTTTAAATAACATCTTTCAAACATCATAAAACGTTTTCCAGATGTTTTTCAAAAAAATGTAATTCATTTTACGTAAAACGTTTTCCATAAATGTAATTCATTTTTCAGAATTTAAATTACAGTAATTCATTTTTCAGTAATTCAAATTCTATGAATTCAAATTCCAGGAATTCATTTTTCAGAAAATCAATTACAACCAAACAAACAGACCCTTAACTGATGGACTGACGTGGCATAACTCCGACGGATGAACAATCAATTCAAAGTGTGGATCACAAGAGAATGATGAGTCAACCAATATAGTCAAATTTCAAGTTCATTAGATGATTGACCATGAAGATCGGAGAATGAAGAAATCAAAGAGTCAATCGTCGATTTGGAGAGATTTAGGCGTTTTTCGATAAAACGGGGGTCACAATCGCGTTTAGAGAGTCGAAAAAGTGCGGACTGAAAGCTTTATTGGGCGACGACTATAGATGCGATGACAGGCGAGCTCATTTGTTAAGTTTTTAACGATGAGATACTCAAATGAAACAAAAACTAAATGTTATGTATGATTTTTTTAAAAAAATTAAAAGTTTAACTATTAAAACATATCAAATTGATAATTTAGGTACTTAAATGCATAACTTACCCAAAGTTTTTTAATTTTTTTTCAAGATAAACTATATAAACCACTAAAGTATTTATAAATTTATTCTTTGACTACTGACGTTTTAAAAGTAAAGAAGTTATCATTAATGTTATTGTACGCATTGAAAGATGCAAATATCAATCGTCGATTTGGAGAGATTTAGGCGTTTTTCGATAAAACGGGGGTCACAATCGCGTTTAGAGAGTCGAAAAAGTGCGGACTGAAAGCTTTATTGGGCGACGACTATAGATGCGATGACAAGCGAGCTCATTTGTTAAGTTTTTAACGATGAGATACTCAAATGAAACAAAAACTAAATGTTATGTATGATTTTTTTTTAAAAATTAAAAGTTTAACTATTAAAACATATCAAATTGATAATTTAGGTACTTAAATGCATAACTTACCCAAAGTTTTTTTATTTTTTTTCAAGATAAACTATAAACCACTAAAGTATTTTCGTCAGGTTAGTAACTTAACAACCAGTGACATAATTGAATGTAAAAATAAAATTTGATATTAGAATTAATAAAATTAAAAATTCAATAGTATAAAAAAATAACATACAGAGCTTAGTGGTATATAGTATTATTAAAAATTCAATGAAAAGCTCACAATCTCAAATCTTTTCTAACAAATATATAATCAACAATCCCCAAAATAAAAAAGGTAATGCCACTACTAAAGCTCGGCAAACACTACATTCCATAGAAGAAAGTAAAACAGCCCTAATTAGAAAACCCTAATCAGGGCTAATTCTTTTTTCCATTAAAATTTACTCTTCCTCGGCGGCAGACTCTCCATTCTTCTTGTTGTGCTTCCTCGCGTACCTCTGGTTCCTCAAGAACTTTGGATCCATCTACACGTATTCAAAAGAAAAAGGAAATTTAAAAGATTAACAAGAATACAAGTCTACTCAAAAATGAATAAAGAAAATAACACAATAATTATACCCCTTTGGTAGAAAAAACAGCCCTAATTAGAAAACCCTAATCAGGGCTAATTCTTTTTTCCATTAAAATTTACTCTTCCGGCGGCAGATCTCCATTCTCTTGTTGTGCTTCCTCGCGTACCTCTGGTCCTCAAGAACTTTGGATCATCTACACGTATTCAAAAAAAAAGGAAATTTAAAAGATTAACAAGAATACAAGTCTACTCAAAAATGAATAAAGAAAATAACACAATAATTATACCCCTTTGGTAGAAGTATGGCGGTGCCTCTTGGGCTTCTTGATGCCATTCTTGTGAGCCTTGTAAGACTGATTGTGTGCGGTGTGGTTCTTTGACTTAGCCATATTCGCTCAACAAAAATCTGACGGAAGAGAAATGTATATCAAGATGCTGTAGCTGAGGCACTTGCGAGGGTTCTTGTTGGATTTTATATATGAGGAAAATTGGAAACCCTAATTACTTGGTGTGAGAATTTGAAAGACGATAATGCCCCGGAACTGTACATTTATATATGGGTCGGGTTTTAGTCATCTCGTAAAATGGGGTTAAACTCTTTTTATTGGGCTTTGGGCCTCATAAATTCTAATAAAGCCCCCCTGTTATTAGAATTTTGATTGTACAATGGGTAAGCATTCGATCGAATCGAGTAAAAAAATTTAAGTTATTTGAGTTGATGAATATTATTGTATAGCTCAAACGTTATTTAAATTTTTTTATTCGGGTCAAGTTATTCGAGTTTATATTTAAATGTAATTATAAATATTTATAATATTGTGGTATTATTTTATTCTAATTTAAACGATTTTCTATAATCATATACAATATATATATGTTTCTTCATATTTTTTTATATACAATACAAAGTTGAGTAACTAAACTCAAACTTAAAAAATATTTTACTAATTACTAAAAAATTCAAGCTATTTAAGTTACTATTAATTATTCTAAAATCAAACGGCAACGTCACCCCCTTATGACGCGCACCAACCAATCACCGTCCTCCACGGCGGCAACACTTTTTAAAATAACCGGCGATTCCAGTAACTTCTCTCTCCATTTCACCGCACACGTCAGCACCGTCACCGGCCAAACCAGTCCCGTTTAGCCAGCTCAAGACTATATATAAATCAAAACCCCGGAAAAATCTTTTAAAAACCAACAAACCGAAGTCTAGAGAAGAAAGAAGAAGAGAACTTTCCTTCTTATTTTTGTTTCAATTCTTCAATTTCAATTAACAAAAAAGGAAAATGTTTCTTGTAGATTGGTTTTATGGGATTTTAGCATCTCTTGGTTTGTATCAGAAGGAAGCAAAGATCTTGTTTCTGGGACTCGATAACGCTGGAAAAACCACTCTGCTCCATATGCTCAAAGATGAGGTAAATTCTTCTTTTGCTTTTTTTCAATTTTATTTTCAAAGTAATAATCAAATACGAATACCTTTTTTCTGGTTTGGTACTTATCATCTGCAAAGTAAGGAAATGGTAGCTCAGTGTATATTTGTTGAATCGTGAGTGAAATTCTGGGAGTTGAAAATTGCAGAGACTTGTTCAGCATCAGCCAACACAGTACCCAACATCGGAAGAACTAAGCATAGGGAAGATCAAATTCAAGGCCTTTGATTTGGGTGGCCATCGAATTGCTCGTAGAGTCTGGAAGGACTATTACGCCAAGGTATTTGCATTCATGTGGATGTGTATTGTGTACCTCTATATATATATATATATGGACACATGATTTATATAGGACGAACTTATAAAATTTTAGGCGGTAAAAATAGATTATCAATATAAAATATCTAAATCATAAGATAGCTTGAAATTATCAGCCTGACGCCCCTCCGTCCATCTATGTATATAAACACTTTCTGGTTTGTTGGTTTTATTAGAAGTCAAGTGTTTATCAAATATTATCATCACATATGTTGTTAATGGATGGTTGATGATGGTGAAAAAACTCAAAAGTCAGCAAAGTTTTGCCTAAACTTTAGTGCCATGGATCCAGATAATTAGCATTTGCTTCGTTTTGTGTCCATATTTTTGCTGTAATTTTGTGGATAGACATTTTTTTCATCCTTTAAAGAGCTTTGATTTTGATTGTTTTGATCTGCATAGGTATGGATAACATTGGTAACTTTTCCTATGCGATTGAAATCATTTTGGGATGGTTTTAGGGTTTGGACCGATTCGTTCCGTATGTTCGGAGTCATGTGTGATTTCAGACCCTTTTCCCCTGGAGGGAGCTATTTAAGCTTCCTTACCCTGGTCTGTCATTAGCTATACTATCCTAGATTCATTATTTAATGTCATATCTGAAGGTTTCCTTAATACGAATTCTTAAGGGGAAAATGGATTGTACTAGTAACATAGGTCGTTTTTACCGAGAATGATGATGCACTTGTTCATATTAATGATATTAATGATGATTACTTTATAAGAATTGGTCGAATATTATTCGATACAAAGGAGTTCTTAGGTTTGGAGATAGGGGCAGGGGTTCCATATTCCGGGGATTGGAACTCCATACTTGTTAGAAGTCTCATCCTAAAAGTGTGATTGTATAGATATGAGCTATGATTCAAGTTCCATATTAGCTAAAGACATACATCTAATAACCTTAAAGAGTACTTTTAAGAGACCTACTATTTGATTCTTCAATTTGGTTGTTTTTGTTTGTTGCTAAACTGAATTGTATGCGATGTCAATTGTAACCTAGGTCGATGCTGTGGTCTACCTGGTCGACGCATACGACAAGGAGCGATTCGCAGAGTCGAAAAAGGAGCTCGACGCCCTCCTTTCAGATGAATCACTAGCAGATGTACCGTTCCTCATTCTAGGGAACAAGATCGACCTACCTTATGCGGCTTCAGAGGATGAATTACGTTACCATATGGGGTTGACAAACTTCACAACAGGGAAAGGGAAGGTTAATCTGGAAGGCACCAACGTAAGGCCGCTCGAAGTTTTCATGTGCAGCATCGTGCGTAAGATGGGGTACGGTGATGGTTTCCGATGGCTCTCTCAGTACATTTAAGTAAAAAGCAAAACCAATAACACAATTCCCATGTCTATAAGAAAACATGTATGGTCCTTGTTGAGAAGTTCATTTTAATATTGTATTTATGCTTGAAACTCTGTTTATTTTGTTATGTTCTCTGTTGAGAAACAAGATTTTGGTACTTGGGAGTGCATACAACTCCATTCTTGCCACAAAAAAATAGGGTCTAATTCTGTCCGAGGTTCTTGTGGTTTTATCAGATTTGTTATTGTTAACAATTGGAGCGGAGTACTATATTCTCAAACCATAGAAACATCTTTCACAAGAGAATGAAACAAGGGACAAAGAAAGATCTTTGCTTATGCAAATTTACACTGGGATCATATCGCGCATTACCCTATATCCAAGTTCCACCTAGCTTGTACACCCGAAGCGCGGACTTGATCAGAATCGAACGTATCAAAATCGAAACGAAAGAAACTAAAGGATTGGCAGTAACTTACCTTTGCTTTATCATGAGCCAACTTCATCCTCCGGTGCTCCTGCTGTGTTTTCTTTGATCGGAACAAAGACTGTACTCATACAACGGATTTTTTGATGCGTTCTTCGCCTTGTCTTCGGCCATCTCTATAGAAGTCCTCTTCTGTGTCAGTCTCTTGGGCTCTTGGCTTCGCTCTGCAACTGGTTCGTATGTGTTGATTTTTAGTTCGCGAAAACCTCGTCTTTTTAATCACCACCGCAGAATCGCTTTCTCGACCACACCGACTGACCAAAGAATCTTACGGTACTGTCTCCTTACTTGGAAGCCATGGAAAATTGCCTAGTTTAAATTTGTGCAATGTCAATTGTCAAAGAATCTTTTCTATTCCAATTTTCTAGGCAATATTCGTAGACATTTTTAACGGTTGATATAATATATAGGGTAAACTACTTATAGTCGTCCAAGTATTCTAGCAGTTCGTCTTGATCATCAAATTATTATTTTTTAAATTATATCTAAAGTTATATTTTGATCACCTATTAAAAAAATTAATGGTAAACTACGTATTTAGTCATCCCATTTATTCCTATAGTTTTTTTATTTTAGTCACCCAACTATTTTTTTTTCAAAATCACACCTAACATTATATTTTATTTCTGTTTTGGTTGTCCTCGCTGGATTGGAAGCCTCAACTGCTTTAGTTCGTACTTTCAAGGAGTGCTCCCCGAATGCTGTTTGTATCCGTGCAGCTGCATCAGCGGCTGTTCTATAAGCTGCTAAAGTTTCCTTCAAAAATAGTTCGTCTTCGTTAAGGTTC